TACACATATACACACGGAGGATAGACAGGGTTGATAGTCTTGCAACGGCGAAGTACAAGGAACAGCCATCTTTCTCAGAAAGAAATTAAAGTTTTCCCTGAGGTATAGTCTTCTCCTCCGTCCCCTTCCATCCCCCATTCGTCTTTCTCGCTCTCCTCTTCTCGTCGCTATCTTAGCCGCCGGAGTCCCGATGTTAGGACCAGGGTAGGTCGAAGGATACTGCCGTAGGGTGGTCGTAGGGTGGCACCGGCTAGCCCATTGCTATTGTTTGTGACGCTCCCCAGGGATAGACCTGCCCTTAACAGTGGCATGTGCCGATGACACCGTACCGGGTGTCCGCAATACCACTTGCCTCTGTCGCCCTCAATGCGTCCGGTTTTGATTATTAAGCGATTCAAAATCGAAATTCCATCGATTTTGAACGATCATCGCGCGTATTTGTCATTCGCGTGAATTCCGACCTGCTCAGCAAGGATTTTATCAATTGGGACGTTTCCTTTTCAAAGGCAATCGCGCGAATACGTTTTGTATTCGTTTTTTAGACGTTGCTCAACTTGTCGCATGTACATTATGGAGGTAGTCACGAATTATGAAAGCTCATTTCCCATGTGCGGTCATTAAGCCACATCAATGGTCGAAATTAGCTTACGGGTATGAGTGCGCCAACGGTGTCTATTATTTCCGGGCGAATTAGCCGGTTCAAAAGTCGGCGGCAACGCGGCGACTGCAATTCCATTTTCCAACGAGAAGGAACCGCACACTCGCGTTTTATTCCGTCGGCGGTTTCGGCGGTGGCGTCGATGATATCGGGCCGAGACGGCCAATTAAAAACGTATCAGCCATCCGGGCGCTTCGAATTTGACTACCGGCCGAATTGAAGCGCCCCGAAAATATGGGTTTCGATTTGTCGTCTCGTGTAGTGAAATAAATTTTAATGATACAAAAATTCGTATCTTGGCAATCCTTGCTAAATCAACCGTAGCACAAATCCTCTCGTTAAATAATTCTTCCTGGTGAAATATATATTTGTTATATTTCTACATTCTATATAATATGATAAAAATTTATATTTACAAACTCTCATTTTATAATATGTCATTCAATTACTGTTATGATATTTTCATATAATTTTGAAAAGAAAGAGAAGAGTTTTATAATAATAATATCATAGACTATTTTTTTCTATTATACCAACATAATCTTTTTTAAAAAAATAATTTTAGTAAGGGAACTAATATGTAATATATAATAAGACATATGCCGAGTTCACGCGATGATAGAATTAAGCATATCTCGTTAATGAGGCAAATATAAATTATAGGGTCAGCTTACCATAATAATTTGCATTGTCACGTGACGCTTTTGCTCTCCCAATCTAGGGGTCGGCGGTGCTTAATTGGGCTGTCATTATGACGCCTTATGGGACACAGGGCTCAATTTAAATTACGTAAAATGATAACGCAACGTTAATGATGAAACGACGACACATGTAATTCGTAAATTATTTTCCATATACATATAGGTTTTTATTTCCTATATAATTTAAAGCATAAAATCGCGAAGCACACTATTAAAAATTATTCTCGAAAAAAATTTATTTTCAAAGTATCTGAAATCTGAGTGTCGAGTACAAAATATTATTCAAATAGCGATACACGCTAAACATTAGTACTAATTAGTACTAATCTCTAGTACTTTGCCTTTGATGCTGGCTGTATGAAATATACTCGACACTCTATTCACGAGTTCCTCTTCCTTCACCATTCTTCGGACGAGTTCCAATTCCGGCGGAATGAGAACCGCGATCGTGAGAGCCACTGGCACGATCCCGCGGGACCACTGGGAGCAGTGGGAAGCCTCTGTACCCGTGCTGGGGCTATACCGGGCTACGCCGTGGAGAGGGTGCTCCCCAAGGAGGTAATTACCCTCCCTGCCGCCGCCCGACCACCCACAAGCCATCGCAACTTCAACTCCTGCCGGAGTTACATGCTAATACAAAACCAAAACCGGTTCCCAACAGCTTTGCTCGTCGGCCGTCGAATTCCCAAAATTCATATACATACGCATATACGTGTACGTATATACATGTACATGCACACAATGACGACAGCTGTGCGCGAGCGCGTGAAAAATGATGCTGGACGTCGCGGCGCACAATCGATCCCCGAGTATTTACGCGTAATATCTGACCGACGTTACGTTTAATGTATGTCGCACGTGTCGTGTAGAAGTGTGCGGTTGCGTTTTTCTCGCGAATTAAATTATCGCCCCCCGCGAAAAGAATCACGTTGAAAAGCCTGTCGTCCACATTAAGAGAATTTTCATATTCCATCGCCGACGATATGTTGATGATGTATCATGGCGCGCTTTCGCGCAACGAGATTCGCAAAAAATGCAAAAATGCACACGTTGTTTTTAAACACAAATACAACGGGATTAATTTTACATCTAAGAATAATAAAATAATAAAGCTAGAAATTAGCTTAGCTGCGAATTACGCTGCGCGATTTCACGCGTTTTCATCCTCTTCCCCTTCCCTATTCCCTATCCCCTTATCTCGCCCTTAAAAACGAGAATGACAATGATTATTTTCCGCGAAAGGGAAATCCCCATGTATTTTTTTTCCAATTTCCCGTTTCACATCGCGAGAACGGACCCACCGCGGAGTTTGTTTTTTTCAACAAAAAAAAACTTTTATATACCACCTGAAATTTTTATTTTATATTTCGTGCCGCGTCGGGCCGCGCGTCGTCGCGCGGCGAATTCGTTTTTTAATTGGCAAATTTATTTGCCGCGTCGTGTACACGCGCGCGCCAAACTGAAATACCGCGCGGCAATGATACAAGAATATTACGATTTTACGTCCGCAACACGCGTGTCACTCGATAACAT